GGGGGGGCAGTGAAAACTGAGGGGACAGACGTGTTACCCAAAGCAGTTTCCCAGCAGTCTAGTGCTGTGGGGCATTTGAGACCCATTAACTAATACAGCAGAAAGTTCCTGAAGAGAGCTAAAAATAATGCATCCACATTACTGTTCTTCAGGCCCGTACACTAAGACCCTCAGGTTCCAATTTCCTCGTGCTAGCTAGGTCAGGTCAGGTTGGGAAGGATGCACTGGTACAGTGCATTGCCATGCTCACCACACAATGAAATACCTTGGGATCCCAGTTGGTCCAGTCCCACCCCCTGAAAATGGGCGTCTTTCTGTCGCAGCCAGGTGTTATGTGGGCGTCCCCTTGGCCTGGTCCAGTCACTCAGGTCCTCAGTAATGACACTCCCTCACAATGTAGGTAATGTTCTTCATTCAGGACTCCCTGAGCAACTGCTCATTTGACACAAAGTCAAACCAGTGGTACCCAAGGACTCTCCGAAAAGACGCAGTACAAAAGGAGTCCAGTCTTCATCTCAGGTGGCTGGACAGCATCCACATCTCACACAGCCATACAGCAAGACAGGGAGCACCAGCACTCTAAAGACTTGGACCTTCGTCCTCTTGCAAAGATATCGGAAACGCCACACGCCCCTTTCCAGCGACCTCATGACCCCCATGCTCTCTCAATCCGTCTGCTGACTTCATAGGAAGAGTCACCAGAGACATGAAAGTCGCTGCCGGGGTAGGTGAATCTCTCGACAAGGTCGACATTCTTCCCGTAGACAGACACACTACTGATAGCTGGCCAAAGAGGTCATTAAAGGCCTGCATCTTGGTTTAGATCCATGATACTTGCAAACCCAGACGCTCAGTCTCTTGAAATCCCTGGACATAGACTCCGCAAAGGTCACAGCATTGTCGGTAAAGTCAAGATCAGTGAATCTTTCCTCACCAACGGACGCCCCAGAGCTGCTGGTCCCCACGACTCTGCCCAACACCCAGTCCATACAAGCATTGAACAGAGTAGGACCAAGAACACACCCCTGGGGAACCCCAGAATCAACTGGGAAGAACGCAAAGGATCTCCCTCCTGCATAGCCCTCACAGTATCAGTGTACAGGCCGACCATGACGTCCAGCAGCTTCAGGGGGATCCTGTGAAGTCTCAGGATGTCCCTCAGGGCAGCTTGATCAACTGTGTGGAAGCCTTTATGAAAATCAACAAAGGCTACAAAGAAACTCTACCAATATTCACATTTGCACACTATGAGAACCTTCAGTGCCAGGATATGGTCGATGGTAGACTTAGGTGTAAAACCAGCCTGCTCCAGTCGCTGGTAGGCATGCAAGTGATTACGGATCCCGTTGAAGATGACCCTAGCAAGGACCTTATCCAGCACTGAGAACAGTGTTATCCCTCAGTAGTTGCCACAATCCAGCCGATCACCATTCACTTTCCAGATAAGGACTACAACTCCTGTTTCCCAGTCAGTTGGGATGATGCCCGTCTTCCAAATGGAAGTAAATATTGCCTGCAATGCTAGGAGGACAGCCTTACCACCAGCCTGGAGAAGTTCACCGGGCCCTGAGGGTCGCAAGTACAGTGTATTTCATAAGCACTGTTCCCTCACCTGCCCTGATTGCAACTCTCCGAGGAGCAGATTCAGATGTGCGTAATGCTCTGTAAACAAGACGTGGGTCACTAGACCGTAGATGGTGTGTCACAGAGCAGAAAGGAGTCCTGTCTGCCGTTTCGGCACTGGGTGAAATTTTTACAGTGGCTGGAGTGCCAATTCCACTATCAACTCCCAAATTTGTCCCTGCAAGTTGAAGGACCACTTGCAGAGCAGGATGCAGTTTAACATCATACCCAGTACCTATAGGTGTAGGTAGCCTTTCATGGGTGGCGTATTTAGTGTTGCAGTGCTGAAACTTTGGAATGCATTGCCACAGTCTGCGAGATGTGCAATCAATTTCAACTTTTAAGATTCCGTTTCATAAATACAGTTTTGTCACAACACATCGTCCTGTTTGTAAGGTTGAACTTT